GCACTTTGACTCTTGTAGGAATGCAGTGACCCATTAAAACTGTTTTGTTCAGAACTTTGTCAAGAGTTTTTGTCCTTTGGGAAAATCATGTCACTGGTGGCAATGCCTTGTATGCATTTGACTCTCCACCAAGACACACTGGCATCGGCCTGTGACAAAGCTGAGACATTGACCATGACTCTTTGTGGTGCAAGCATTGGACGAGCTTCTGGAGTGGTTGTGTGCCTGAGCGTTTCCATGTTGAAACATAGTTTTTTCATTCACAAACTATTTTTCATTTATTTTTCTCCTTGTGTCGCTATTATTGCTTTTTGTGAAATTATGTATGGAGGTAGATTATATTAAGAGTGAATTTTATTTCAGGATAGTAAATGTGTATATTCCGGAAATGGGGGCTTTGGCTCCGACAGCGTGGAGAATCAGTCAGTGTACCATGGTGCGTGCCTTGAACCACGAAGAGCATAGTTTAAAAATAATCTCCATCCTCATTGTCTGTCCTTTCTACTTCAAATGAAACCTCAACCCACAGACGGAGCAGAGCTTTTCCTGAGGCTATGACTGCCATCATTAATTTCTCAAAAAAAAAAAAAAGTCTTATTGTACCAAATATGGGAAAACAAATCTCTCATTTTGGTTTCCTGTTTTTGGCCTTGGGGATTGATATTATTTTGAAATTTTAACTCAATTCCACTTCTAGTTGCTGTTTCTGAGGCCGCAGGAGGCATTCGCTGACTTTTTGGTGGGGGTTCTGGATCATTGTTTTCTAGGAACCAGCTGTGTGTCCTCAGAGGTCGGCCCCCAGCTGCAGCACAGGCAGAGCGCCTGTCCCCCTCCTGCTGACCCAGCTGCCTGTATCTCCAGGGTGTGTCAGCAGCCACCTGGGTGGTGTCCGGGGACTGGGGAGAACCTGCTGCATCTTCCTTTGCTACCTGGTTGAGTAAACAGGAGGCAGCAGCCAGCAAGATGGGGGTTGTGGGATGGTATCAGCTGGACGAGCCAAACGCCATGGCTGCCTGCTGAGCACAGTGAGAGTTCCTGAGGAGTACGTAGTAGGCGGGAGGCCAGCAGGGTCACCACCATGTGCCCAAGCCCTCTCCCAGGCTTTCCAGTGCCACCCATTTCCAGAGGATTTGCCTCTGCACATCCCAGGTGGCACCCGGATAGCCTGGTGCTGCTTATGCCAGACCATGGGGTGTGCGCGGAGATAGATGGCGAAGCCCGCATTTCTGCATGCTAGCTAGGCGAGACGGGACTGAGATGTAAATGTAAACTTTGAATTCACACATTATGAGCTGTGTAGGCGAGGTGACCTTAACTTTAGCATTTCCTGACGTTTCTGTTTTTAAGTTAATACTCAGGATGTTACCTGAACGCAGGTTTTGCCCTTTAATTGTAAAGGACTGGGGGCTGCAAGCTGCTTAGCTGATAGTGACGCTCATGGCGTCTGTATTGACGCAGAGAACAGGAAGCCACTGTGTTTCACGGTGTCTCATACCTGAAGCTCCGTGCTTCCCCCGTTGTCTGTAAGGAGCTGTGGGGCGTGCAGGGAAGCGGGGAGACTGTCACCTCCCGGGACAGCCTGCCTGGTGTGCCGTCACTTTCCAATAAATGTTTATTGGTTAAGGGAGAAAGCTGTGTTAGCTGGGTTTTATGTGTGGGACCTGACATCCTAACCTGGTACAGATGGGAACACCCATCTGACAAGGGAATAAATAACTGAGTTGGTCCCAACGGAGGAACCGAGCAGCTCCATTCACTCAGCTGCTGAGAGAAGCTCTCGTTGGCCACCTGTGATGTCAGATGTTTCACACTGCTGGACCTCACCCCAAATTGTTAATTTCCACAGGGCTAAGTTCAGAAAGACCCAAGGATGAATTTGCTAGATATGAGTAGATGTGTTGACTTGGTTTTGTGTTTGTGTTCCATTATTTACAGTCATATTGGCCGAAGCCGCCTCTGGAGCCGGTCTGTACTGTAGTGTGATGAGGACCAGGTGGCAGGAGCACGTGCTGCTTGTTACCTGGCGGGGGTAAAGCGCCCTAACACATGTCACACTGATACGTTCACACGGGAGGCTCTCCCAAGGTGGGAAGCCAGTTTTGGGTTGGGAGGGAAGGATGTAGTTACTCACTTTAGCAGCCGGTGCTCAGGATGTGGGTAGAGTACCAGTGGGGCTATGCATAGGCATTTGGCACCCAGGACAGGAAGTCAGGCAGTGCCTGTTTCAAACCGCTTGGTAAAGAAGCATTTGCATTTCACTGGCCTACACTTTTTGTAGGCAGTCTGCTAGACTTCCAGAACCTACTTTGTTCTCATTTCGTCTCTAGAAGGAATGCTAAGGGCATGCTACTTTTCACAGGGATACAGGTCCTGGTGAAATGTGAGGCTCCGGGAACTGGGGTCCCCCAGCCGGGTACACTGCCAGGCGTCCACTGTGCTTTGCCGTCTCCGGATCAGGGATGGTGCGTTGCTGGAGGGGAGGGAAAGAGTCAGTCCCCACAGAGGTGGTTTATGCCCCGACACCATTCAGCCTCTGTGAACTTTGAGTGGTGGCTCTGAAACGTCCCATCTTGACAGGGCTCAGACGCTCCCACAGCTGCCTCCTCTCGGGTCCCCGGGGCCACCAGCCTCCCTGGGGGTTGGTGCCTGTGATCCATCCTGTCCAAGCTCATCCGTCAGACAGGATCCAAGTCGCACCCACAGGCTCTTGAAGTTAAGGGGCACCGGAGGCGACAGGGGAGCCTAACCTGTGTATAGTGAAGCCTCGTGTCCTGGGGTAGGCAGGGTTTTGATAGGAAGGACATCAAGTGTTCTATTACCAGGTACACATTTTGCCTCTGTAAGAGGGAAAACGTGGTTTGGGGGGTTTTCAGCATTTAAGTTCCAAAGTTTTGGGACTGTATGGAATAGATGACTCGGGATTCACGTGACGCCTGCTTTTGACACCCCCATGTTATTTTCCCAAGCGTGCATCTGGTTCCTCCAGGCTCCAAAGCTCCTTATGCCTGAGCCATCTCTGAGGCCTTCAGGGGACTCGAGGCTCCCTTCGGCTTTGTATCCCCACAATTTAGCACCTACCTGACGTGTTGCAGGTGCTGTAGAAATCTTCACCGTGAATCAGTGTGTCAGGCGTGTGTCATGTTTCCTGTACTTGATAAACTCTGTGGAAATACCGGTGCTCTTTATTCACAAGGCACTGCAGCAACAATGCATATTCAGTTCTGTCACCTAGGTGATGTGCTTTGCATGCCAAGCCTTCTGTGACAGCGCCCTTCCTCGATTTCCTTATCCGTCTTTGACTGTTACTTCTCTATGAAGAGAAAGGTGCCTCCTCTGAGGGCCTCTCCTTGGCACACTGTGCGTTGGCGATTCCAGGGTCCTCTTCATGTCTCGCTCTGTGCATTCTCTCTGGGGGCGCCACCCGTCCCCATGGCTTTACTGCCAGGTGTATTGTTGATGACTCCAAATCCACGTCCCTGTGCAGACTCTTTCTGGACCACCTGGCTCCTGGGCATCTCCCATCAGATGCATCTCAAACTCAGCATTGCCAGGGCTAAGCTTGTGACTCCCACCCCTATCCTTTCCTATTCCCCAGCTACTCTGTCACCTAAGGCATAAATACCCAGCATCTGCCTTTTTACCTGTCTTGTCTGTATTTCCTTATGTGAAATAGGTGGCAAAGAGGAGGCCTGAAGCCTCTACCTGCTCAGACTCGCTGCGTTCACCCTACTTCTTTGCTGTCACTCGGTTCTGTGCTCGTTTGGGTCCTTCCACCTCATACCCTCAGTGTTGCTGTGACTTGGTGACTTAGTTTTCTGCCAAGTCCTTCCCCTCTATCAGTTCCTCCAGCCTATGGCTAACGTACTTTATGACCAACAGCAATGAAGTGTGACTTGGACTATCTGGTCCTTTTCTGTGTGGGGTTAGGGTGTTGGAAGAAGTAAAAGAAAGAAGAAATTGGAGCTCCAGAATTCTGTAGACGGTTGAGATATTTTCTGTGGGTCCTCTCTTGCCTTAAAAAGCAAGCGCCTGTGTAGTGATTAGTGATGTCAGCATGTATCATGGACCAGCATTTCTGTCCATGAGTTCCCTCAACCTCCTAGGGCTCCCACAGGTTCAAAGGTCTCCTAGAGGCCAGTGTCCTTGCCCCCACCACGCTGGAGAGTTTGTCAGCATCTATTCATGCAGTTTAGGCCTAGATCGACTCAGTCAAGTATGAGATTGATGACTTCTTGTTGCCTCTAACTGGGATTCAAAGCCATCTGGTTTCACCTAGTTCAGGGTACAGTCTACCAAATACAATAATTAGAATGAAAATCTATGTTATATTTTGATAGAGGCTTATCTTTCCATCTTTCTTGGATTTGCTAATTTGAAAACCACTGGAAAGAACTGTTGAGATAGCTGTGTATATAGCTGTGGGTTGGAAAACCATGTATTCTACTTACCTTTTACATTATTCCTTAAGCTTTACTCTGGAAGTTAACAAAGGTTTGCTGTTCCTTCTGGGACTTTCAATTTAGGATGAAATTATGGTTGATGCCAGAAAAAGAAGAATTATGCTTGCAAATGAGCAAGTTGTGGGCTGTAATAAGAATCTGTGATATTCCACCGTTGGTTTTCCAAGATATCCCCGTGAGTTTGCCCTTACTTAGCCCAAAATAGGGAGGTACCAACAATAGTCACTGCTACTTGATTCTTGGTCCAAATTAACTATTTAAGATCTGAGTTCAGTGAAGTACAGTTTGCACAGCAATGACAAGAGTGACAAGGCATTTAAGTCATTGTTTTGATTGGTCATTAGTCACCAGAGCCCAGCTGTGTTTCAGAAGACCATCTATGTGCATGTTGTAACTTCAGTGTCATAAAGGACCACTACGTACTACCTTCTGTTGTTTTTTTCCTTCCCTTCTCTTTCTCTGTCTGAGCTTTTAACCCTGTCATTACTAGTCTCTGCAGATGGCCAAACCCACATATGTTTTTTGTCACTTTTCACGCAGATTTCAGCAACGTCCCTGACATCACAACTGGCCTGAAAAGGAGTCAGACAGATGGCACACTGGATCAGGTTCCCCACAGGGAGAAAATGGAGCAGACGTTCAGGGTAAGATGCCATCCCAAATCTCAAACAAGGAAGGACCCGCAGGCAAGCGTTAATTTCCAGCTTTACCTGAGGTGGGGGAAAAGAAGATGGAGTTATCCTATCCCTAGGTCCAGCAGTCATTACAAATGTTTTTTTTTCCCTAAAGAAAATATTTTCCTTATTTATTTGAAGTAAAGTACTAATGGGAACCACTGACTCTAGCCACACCCCCTCCATGACTTCTGGTGTGCCACCACGGAGCAGTGCAAATGTGCCATTTGTACGTTAGGATAGTTTGACAAGAGAAATCTAAGCTCAGGTGTCCTGAAAGTCACATTAAATCACTATTTTTCTCCTTTCCTACTTTTTTTCTTTTTCTTTTTGCCAAAGATAAATTAATTTTGGAATGTTGTCATTTGGTTCTGGTAAAATATATAAAACATAAAATTTGCCGTTTTAACCATTTTTATGTTGTACACTGAAGTGGCGGTCAGTACAGTCACAATATTGTGCGACTGTTACTACTATCTATTTCCAGAACTTTTTCCTCATGGCAAACAGAAACTCTTTACACACTAGTCGATAACGCCACATTCACTCTAGCCTCCCAGCCCCCTGGCAAACTTTGTTATGCTGTCTGTCTGATATGCCTATTTTAGGAACTTCATGTAAGAGTAATCGTACAATAGTTGTCCTTTTGTTTCTGGCTTATTTCACTTAGTATATTGTTTTCAAGGTTCATCTATGTTGTAGCAGGTGTCAGAACTTCAGTCCTTATTAGGGCTGAAGAATATTCCATTGTATGCATATATTTGTACTGCATCTGTTTATCCATTCATCTGTTGATGGACATTTGGGTTGTTTCACCATTTGGCTATTGTGTGTAATGCTGCAGTGAACGCTGGAATACGAATATCTGCTTGAATCCTTGTTTTCAGTTCTTTTGGGTGTGCTTCTAGAGGTGGAATTGCTAAGGCATGTCGTCGTTCTGTGCTTAGCCTTTTGAGGAACAGCCTGGTTGTTTTCACAGCATTGCACCATTCTACATCCCCACCAGCAAGGTGCAAGAGCGCCAGTTCCTCCCCATCCTCACCAACACTTGTTATGTTCCATTCCTTTCTTCACTGTTAACTGTTCTTAGCTATCCTTTCAGAACGGTCTGATTGACACCTGTTTTATTGCACAGTCCAGTTTTAACTGATTTTAAAGTTATGACTATTATATTTTTTTGCTTTTGTTGTAAATACAAAATAATGAAGAAATATAAGGTATGTCATGTATATAAACAAAACTTAGAGCAGGACCACACCTCAGTTGGGTTTATTTATTTATTTATTTTAAAGATTTTTATTGGGGAATTGGGGGAAGGGGAACAGACAAGTTGCTGTTGTTTTGTTCCTCAGTCTAGTTGTGGAGGACGTTGCTTCACTGGCCCAAGTTGGCACCATC